ATTAAGACAGTATGGTACTGGCACAAGAACAGACACTCAGATCAATGGAACAGAAGAGAGAACCCAGAAATGGACCCACAAACGTATAGCCAACTAGTCTTTGACAAAGCAGGAAAGAATATTCAATGGAATAAAGACAGTCTCTTCAGCAACTGGTGCTGGGAAAACTGGATAGCGACATGCAGAAGAATGAACCTGGACCACTTTCTTACACCATACACAAAAATAAACTCAAAATGAACGAAAGACCTAAATGTAAGACAGGAAGCCATCAAAATCCTTGAGGAGGAAGCAGGCAAAAACCTCTTTGATCTTGCCCGCAGCAACTTCTTACTCAACACATCTCCAGTGGCAAGGGAAACAAAAGCAAAAATGAACTACTGGGACCTCATCAAAATAAAAAGCTTCTGCACAGCAAAGGAAGCAATCAGCAAAACCAAAAGGCAACCAACAGAATGGGAGAAGATAGCTTCAAATGACATATCAGATAAAGGGTTAGTATCCAAAATCTATAAAGAGCTTATCAAACTCAACACTCAAAAAACAAATAATCCAGTGAAGAAATGGGCAAAAGATGTGAATAGACACTTCTCCAAAGAAGACATCCAGATGGCCAACTGACACATGAAAAAATGCTCAACATCACTCATCATAAGGGAAATACAAATCTAAACCACAATAAGATACCACCTCACACCTGTCAGAATGGCTCACATTAACAACTCAGGTAACAACAGATGTTGGTGAGGATGCGGAGAAAAGAGGATCTCTTTTGCATTGTTGGTGGGAATGCAAGCTGGTGCAGCCACTCTGGAAAACAATATGGAGGTTCCTCAAAAAACTAAAAATAGAACTACCCTATGACCCAGCAATTGCACGACTAGGCATTTATCCAAGGGATATAGGTGTGCTGTTTCAAAGAGACACATGCACCCCCAAGTTTATAGCAGCACTATCAACAATAGCCAAAGTATGGAAAGAGCCCAAATGTTCATCGATGGATGAATGGACAAAGAAGATGTGGTGTATATATATTCAATGGAATATTACTCGGCAATCAAAAAGAACGAAATCTTGCCATTTGCAGTTACGTGGATGGAACTGGAGGGTATTATGCTAAGTGAAATTAGGGAAAGACAAAAATCATGACTTCATTCATATGAGGACTTTAAGAGACAAAACAGATGAACATAAGGGAAGGGAAACAAAAATGATATAAAAACAGGGAGAGGGACAAAACATGAGACTCATAAATATGGAGAATAAACAGAAGGTTACTGGAGGGGTTGTGGGAGGGGGGATAGGCTAAATGGGCAAGGGGCATTAAGGAATCTACTCCTGAAATCATTGTTGCACTACATGCTAACTAATTTGGATGTAAATTTAAAAAAATAAAATTATTCTGATGAGAAAAATAAAATAAAATAAAATAACCAAAAAAAAAATAATTCTCAAATCTCAGTAAGAAAAAGACAACCCATTAAAAAACAGTGACTTGCACAGATGTTTCATCAAATAAGACATTTAAAATGGTAAACACATGAAAAGAAAAAAAATTATATGCACCATAATTCACTTTCATAAAAGTGCATCAAAACCCCAAACCCCAAGACTAAAGTAGTCAAAAACAAAATTTGCTTATATATGAACATGGATACTTTAAGCCTAGTTATAATCAAGATCTTTCATTTCATCCCAACCAAATGAGTCACACTTATATTTATGAGAGTAATCTGAGAGTAATGCTTTAAACAAAACCATCATATATGCCAATATCATGATTCTTTTAAGATATTTTTCCAATTATGATGCAACACGTTTTTCTCAGACTCTTTCACAATACAAAAACTAAACTTGATGATCCCACATTTTCCTACTTTCTCCTAGAAGAAAGAACTCATGACTACTCTCAATTTTCTACTACTACTACTACCATTACTACTATTCAGTCTGTATAGAGAAACCAAAGGCAACATAATGGGTAAGAGTAAGAAGTATTATTTGAAATAGGTCAATACACCTTACTGAGACAAAAATGGAAAAAAGAATATCCATAATGCAAAGGTGGCAATGCCTTTGCTATGTCCAATAAAACATTTCTTTCTGAACCAAGAAGCTCCAAAGGGATCTTTCACTAAAGAAAGGAGAAAGCAGTATTCTGAAGTTACTCCTTAACTTATAACACAAATTCACGATTACTTAGTATTATTCTAAAATCCAAGCCTCTATAGATATAAAAAACTTCACTCGAGGTCGGGGGAGGGGCAGCCCAGGCACAAGTATGTCCCTGGGCCCAATGGCCTCATGGCTGCCCTGAAGTAGCAGATAGAGTGGGAGGACCCGGTGGAGCCCTTGGCAACAGCCTGGTAGACATAGACCTAGGGCACCTGCCTTGCCAAGGGGTTGGCTGGAAAAGTCCACCACCCTGAGCCTCTGGCCCGTGTGCCTAAGGTTGACAGCATGGCCTAGAGATTGCCCACTGGCTCCTCTCTTCTCCCCTCAGCCTCTCCACACACCCGGGGTTAAAGGCAGTCAAGACAAGGCTCCAAGAGCAATGGTTTGATCTCCCACTCCTAGTGATGAATTCATCTCAGTAGTTTTAGAACAGGCCTTCCTTATGGTTTGTACTTAAAGGTTAAGGACAGTTAAAGAGAGAAATTACAGCTCACCTACTGTCAGCTTGACAGCATAATTTTTAGAAATCACAAATGAACCATGGGTTATTTCTTAAGATTGGGCCCTGAAAAACCACTTGGATGCTGTATAGCCATGTGCACACCTGAACATGAAAATGATCTTCTTCCATTTCAAGGAGATCTCCCTCTTCAACTAAATCAACAGAAGTGGCTTGAAGGAGCAGAAGGGACCCCCTATCTGACCAAACTCAGCCAAACTGAATCTTTTTCAGACAGGAGTAAAGCAGTACAAGGGTGGCCTGATCACCACTTTCTGCTCACTCTACCATTGAGCAGCTCCTTCCAGGACTGCCACCTATATGCAGGTTATGCCCTGCATAAGAGCACCAGGCTGAGACAGTGAGAGCTGAAATCCTGCCAGGCTCTACTCACCAAGCCAAGTTTATGGGTGTATGACTGTATCCACTCAGACTCCCTTTTCTAAACTGTACCAAGGCATCCTGTATGGGCTAGGGGCAGTTCTGACCATTCCACTACCATATCCAAGTCCTACCCAGGATTATATTCCTTACCTCAGATGGATTTAAGGTTCTGATGAACAGATTAGGTTTATTATACAGATGAAATATTTGACCAAAAATAAAATTAATTTCATAGGTAAAGCTCAAAATATTACTATTGATATAATTTATATGAGTGTATATATATAGTTATGTGGATATACATTTCTAAAATTTTTTTTTTCAACGTTTTATTTATTTTTGGGACAGAGAGAGACAGAGCATGAACGGGGGAGGGGCAGAGAGAGGGAGACACAGAATCGGAAACAGGCTCCAGGCTCTGAGCCATCAGCCCAGAGCCTGACGCGGGGCTCGAACTCACGGACCGCGAGCTCGTGACCTGGCTGAAGTCGGACGCTTAACCAACTGCGCCACCCAGGCGCCCCATGGATATACATTTCTATAGATCAGAAGTTTAGCACAACTTAGTAAATGTTTAAAATTAAAAAAAATTCATTCTTGATGTCTAAATAAAGAGGCTTTATGAAGGAAGATCTTTTTATTTACATTAAAGAACCAGTTTTTATTTTTTATGTTCTAAGTTCAGACTACTTTCAGTTAAAAGAGACAAGATAATGTTTGTGTTCCAAAAGAGATTCCAGTTAGATCTATTTCTCATTTTCATTACTTCTCTTTCTGAATAATAAGAATCTCAATCCCAGGGGCCCCTGGGTGGCTCAGTTGGTTAAGTGTCTGACTTTTGATCACGGCTCAGGTCACGATCTCCCGGTTAGTGAAATCGAGCCCTGAATCGGGTTCTCACTGATGGCACGAAGCCTGCTTGGGATTCTCTTTCTCCCTCTCTCTCTACTCCTTCCCCATGTGAGCGTACATGTATTCTCACTCTCTCTCTCTCAAAATAAATAAATAAAAACTTTAAAAGTAAACAGACATCTTACTCCCTAGTCCCCAGTCATCCCTCATGGTGCCTATCCTCCCCATTTTATCAACACTGATCTTCCCAAATCAAGCTTGACTCTAGTTTCTTCTTAAAATACCTTCCCATGACCTCTGCTTCTGCATTGTATACTCTAGGTTTTGTATGATAAAGTACAAATACCACTTTTGTCAAAGTCCATGAAGGAAATTCTTATGGGATAAACAGGTCCTTGGAATAACAGTCCTTACATTTATTTGTGCCCCTTAATTATTCTGATGGCATAGAAAACAAATGTGTAAGCAAAGATAAGAATATCATTTTTAGTACCAAAACAGTATTCAAATATTAATGAAATGAAGTAGTGACACAAAAAGAGTATACTGCCTAGGGAATGAACTAGTAGTCATTTTTTTTTTCTATTTAAGTCAGAAGAGTTATAAAGGATCTTACAAATGAATTAACAAAAGAATCACTCTCTTTTGGGGTGCCTGAGTGGCTCAGTCAGTTAAGTGTCCAACTTCAGCTCAGGTCATGATCTCATGGCTCGTAAGTGGGAGCTCCACATCAAGCTCTGTGCTGACAGCTCAGAGCCTGGAGCGTGCTTCGGATTCTGTGTCTCCCTCTCTCACTGCCCTTGCCCCACTCGCACTCAGTCTCTCTCTCTTTCCCTCAAAAATAAACATTAAAAAAAATTTTTTTTTAAAGAATCACTCTCCTTCAAGTTTACACAGAGCAAACCTGAGATTAGAATGATCTGCAAAAGATTATTTTATTATTTTAAGATTTCAAGGCAAATTAATATCACATAAATGATACAAAAGGTAAATATGCAATACTATTAGCACCAGTTTTAAATAAAATAAGTAAAATTCCATAGCCTTCCACCTGTCTACCACATAAAAAGGTTGATTCAATGTCACTTGCCATTTTTGCGGGAAGTCTTCTGCACTGTTATTGGTGGACAAGACTGGGCAGGTGATACATCTGAAGAAGCAGGGGAGCCTGTGTGATGAGCCTTTACCTTGTCAGCCCAACTGACACCTGTGGGAGCCAGACGGGGAGCAGCTACTGTGCCAGGTGAACCCCTATGGAGAAAATTCTGCATTATTAAATCAAGTATAAAAGTTAAAATTTTTTAAACTTTAAATACATACTTAATATTATTCTGATCTCTGTTTTATTTATTTCTGATTTTTGTTATTTCCTTCCTCTAGTAAATTTTGACTAAGTTTCTTCTTTTTCTAGTTCCTTGTGGTGTAATATTGCTTATTTCAACCTTTTCTCTTAACACAAACATTTGTAGCATAAATTTCGCTCTAACATCTGCTTTTGCTGCATCCCATAGTTTTGGAATATTGGATTTTCTTTTTCTTTTGAGACATATTTTGATTTGCCATTTGATTTATCATTTGGCCCATTGCTTGTGCAGTAGTGTGGTATTTAATATTTACATATTAAATATTTATATTATAAAAAATAAAAAATTTGAGAAAAAATTTAAAAAGTGAAAAAATATATATGATGAAATATTATGCAGTCAATAAAAAAGAAATGGAATACGCCTGATTTAAAAAAAAAGAACCTGAAATGTTTCCAAATAAAAAAGCAATGTAGGGGACACATGGGTACTCGTCAGTTAAGCATCCAACTCTTGATACCAGCTCAGGTCATGATCTTACAGTGGTGACATTGAGCCCTGCATTGGGCTCCACACTGAGCATGGAGCCTTAAGATTCTCTCCCTCCCTCTCTCTCTGTCCCTCCCCTACTTATGTACTCTCTTTCTCCCCTATATCTGAAGAAGAAAAAAAAAAAAATCACTGCAACATTTTACTCCCTACTGATTTGGCTATATAAATGTCACTATCACTATTTACGTGTCTATTTAAATAAATTTAACACATTTCAAAACTGTTTCTTTTTTTTTAATGTTTTTTTTTTGAGAGAGAAAGAGAGAGAGAGAGAGCACAAGCAGGGGAGGGGCAGAGAGAGAGAGGGAGAGAGAGAATCCCAAGCAGGCTCCAGGTTCCAAGCTATCAGCACAGACCCTGACTCAGGGCTCGAACTCACAAACCACTAGATCATTACCTGAGTGAAAGCCAGGCACTTAACTGACTGAGCCACCTAGGCACCCTAAAACTGCTTGACTTTTCCCCCAAAAAGTTAAAATTTTAAATATATGCTTAATATATTTAAATTTTAATTGTGTGTATGTGTGTGTGTGTATCCACATATACAGAGTACCATACAATAACAATTTAAGTCAAATATATTTAAAAATTTATGTGGGTCTAATACTTCATTAATTTAATATAATATATTGAATGGGAACAGGGATGATATAAAAGCTCTCATTAATTCAGTTTAAAAGAAAATTTCAGTTAAATGGGGACCTTTAAAAAATATACATATATAAGTTAAATATTTTATTTTGAAACTCTTATCTTTTAATAATATAAATGTACATTAATTTGTCAATATATTGACATAGAAGACATTATCAAAGAACATATTCAAAGTCCTGAAAGAAAAAGATTTTCAACCAAGAATTCTATGCACTACAAAACTATCCTTCTAAAACTAAAGGACAAATTAAGATAGTTTCAAAATAAAAACTGAGAAAAACTGCCCAACAAGACATACTAAAGGGGATCCTTCAGGCCAAAATGAAAGAAAAATAGACAGTAACCTGAATCCACATTAAGATATAAAGAGCATTAACAAAAGTAACTACATAGGTAATAAATACAAAAAAATATATAAATGTCTTATTTCTTTATAACTTTTCTTCTATTGATTTAAAATATAACTGCATAAAATAAAAATTATAAAACTGCACTGATGGGATTACAATGCATAAAGATGTAATTTCATGACAGTAACATAGCTTATGATATACATTTAGATCTTTTGTTATAAAGAAATTGCCAGTTCATGTTATGAATCATTTAGCATAAAATATGTTTATGAGTTTTAATTTTTGGATCCTATTTGAATATATTACATTTTATAAATTCTTCGAAAAGTTAAACTTTACTGGATTTTTTAAACTTTTGATTCAAACAATTTCAAACATACACAAACATATACATGGATTTTTTTAAGTGAAATATCAGTTGTATAATACTGTATTATTCACAGAAAATAATTTACTATAATGTAAGCCTTAGTAGGCTTTTTTTAGTTTGTCTCACCCAAAATTTAAACTTCTTCGAGCATTTGATGTTACACTTATTCTATCTGTTGATGGACTTGGAATCACATGACGTCCTGGAGACATCTTCTTTACTTCCCATGCCAAAGAAGTTGGTCTGTCAATTCAAGACATACAACAGATTAAATTAACAGAGAAAAAAGAAAAATTTTTCATCTTTTTTCTGGCTGTTACTGGGTGAAAACATAATCAGGTCACAATTTTTCCCTAGAGTACTGTTTACCGGCAAGTTACCGTATTACCAGGAAGGAACACAGATGACACATGGTCCAGGATTTTCCACCCACTGCAGCACAGTAACATCTAAAATGGGCTTTGGGGTTACAAAGATATGAGATACACTACTTAGGTTTTAAAAGTCTCCATATACCCAGCTAAAAACACATTAAAAAGACAATGATATTAATTGAGCCTACTTACACAACTAAACTGGTGTATGATGCCCTGGAAAACTAAGTGTGTAGAACAGAGATCAAGACAGAAAAACAGAATGAGAGGGTTAAATGAAGAATACACAGGAAAATATGAAGTCTCCTTTTTTCTACACGGGAGTGGGAACATAAACATTTCCTTGCTCTTTGCTGGGAAAGCTAACTTCTTCTTCACTGTTCCCCAAACCTTGACAGGATGGACAATTTTTACTAAAATGTTTTCCTAAGGCAGCATTTTCACTATCCCTAATGCCCTCAATGGGAACCTCCATAACTCCCAGAATCTCCTTCTCTCTTACTCTGCATTCAATCTAGTAGTTGCGATTTTCTTGTCACATTAAAAACTGACATTTGTTGTTAGAAAACAAGAAAATTCAGGTAAAAGATTATCCAAATAAAGTCTAAAGCTTTTGACAATTTACTGTCAAATCACCTTTCAGAAAGGTTCTAACAAATTATAACTCAGCCAGATAAAAAGTGTCCATTTCCCTTGAACCTTGTCAACAGTATCTTATTTTTTTTAATTTTTTTTTCCTGTTTGTATTTTATTTTTTATTTTTTATTTTTTTATATATGAATTTTTTTTTATTTATATATGAAATTTATTGTCAAATTGGTTTCCATACAACACCCAGTGCTCATCCCAAAAGGTGCCCTCCTCAATACCCATCACCCACCCTCTCCTCCCTCCCACCCCCCATCAACCCTCAGTTTGCTCTCAGTTCTCAACAGTCTCTTATGCTTTGGCTCTCTCCCACTCTAACCGCTTTATTTTTTTTTTCCTTCCCCTCCCCCATGGGTTCCTGTTAAGTTTCTCAGGATCCACATAAGAGTGAAACCATATGGTATCTCTCTTTCTCTGTATGGCTTATTTCACTTAGCATCACACTCTCCAGTTCCATCCACGTTGCTACAAAAGGCCATATGTCATTTTTTCTCATTGCCACGTAGTATTCCATAGTGTATATAAACCACAATGTCTTTATCCATTCATCAGTTGATGGACATTTAGGCTCTTTCCATAAT